CCTGGCACCTGGAGACAGAGCAAGACTCTGTCTCAAAAATAAAATAAAATTATATATATATATATATATATATATATATATATATATATATGCCATGTGAGTTTGCTCATGTTTGTAATTATAGCACTTTGGCAGGCTGAGGCAGTGGATCACCTGAGGTCAGGAGTTTGAGAGCAGCCTGACCAACACAGTGATACACTGTCTCTACCCAAAATACAAAATTAGCCTGGATTGGTAGTGCATGCCTATAGTCCCAGCTACTTGGGAGGATGAGACAAGAGAATTGCTTAAACCCAGGAGGTGGAGGTTGCAGTGAGCAGAGATTACACCACTGCACTCCAGCTTGGGTGAAAGAGCAAGACTCCATTTCAAAAACATATATATATATATATATATATATATACATATATATATATATAAAATATGTATACACACACATACATATATATTATATATATATATGTATGTTACTTGGTGTAATACTAACAATATTAAAAAATTTTAAATATCCTCATATAAATATTTCAGTGTTAAGATATTTATGATAGAAAACTTGGAAATATGTCATACTGATCATCAATAGAACACCATAGAAGATGCTTCATTTAGGTAAACAAACACTTGAAAACACCTACCTATTTTTTGATAAAATCTTTACTGACAGAAAAAAATTTGAATAGAATGATAATGTAGTAATAAAATTTTTATGTTATATTTACATAAAAGCAAGTAAATATGTGATCAACTGTGCAACTATTTTATTTATTTATTTAGTATACTTTAAGTTCTGGAGTACATGTGCAGAACATGTAGGTTTCTTACATAGGTATGCACGTGCCTTTGTGATTGGCTGCATCCATCAGGCCAGGGACAGTGGATCACACCTTTAATCTTAAGACTTTGGGAGGCCAAAGTGGGTGGATTGCTTGAGCCCAGGAGTTTGAAACCAGCCTGGGAAAAATGGTCAAGTGCAAAAGATGCATAAATTAGCTGGGCATGGTGGTGCATGCCTGTAATCCCAGATACTGAGAAAACTGAGATGGAAGGATCACATTACCCTGGAAGGTCAAGGCTGCAGTGAGCTGAAATTGCACTACTGCACTTTAGCACAGGCAACAAAGTGAGATCCTGTCAAGAAAGAAAAGAAGAAAAGGAAAGGAACAGAAGAGAAAGAAAGAAAAGAAAGAGAAAGAAAGAATGAACTTCAAAAGTGTATCAAGCTTTCTTTAAAAGGAAATAAAAAAGAACAATTATTTAGGAGGCATCTAAAATGTGCCAGGATTCTATTTCATGTTTGTTGTACATACTATAATCATAAAAAATAATTATGATGGCGGCTTTCTGCCCATTCCAGGGTGTTAAGAGCAAAATGATGAATAGATGTGATACTTTGTTCTCTCCATTCAGAATTTCCTCCTCTTAGACTTTCACATGGCTGGCTCTTTCTCATCTTTCAGTTGGCAGCTCAAATATCGGTCAGAGGTCTTCTCTGACCACAGATTTCCATTCCTCTCCCATTCCCATCCTAACTACAAACTTCCCTGATATCTTCTAACATTTTCTCTTTTCTTTATCTAAAGCATTTATATATTTGCTCTTTCTTTCTTTTTCTGTTCCTACTACTATAGCATAAGATCTCATCTTGTATTTTCAGTGTCACACTGACTACCACAGTTTGTGATCTATAACCAAAATAAATTCTAGGTCAAAACAAAATTTCATCAGTCTCATGTGCCAAACCACTATGTCCCTAAAGGACATCTTCAGTCCTAGTAGCCTGCTGAAACTGAACACACCCCTATCCCAAATTTAAAATCCACATGCCATTTCTGACTTTCCTATTCTTTTCTTGATGCAACTGCCATTTTATCATGCTTCAGGTTTACAAAAATTTTCCTCAAGATTTACTAAGTCACTGAATACTGAATACTGCTGTAATCATTTTGTCTCACATTTGTAAATGTATTTTCCAATTTACAACATTTCCCACTACTTTTGTTCATTACACATACCTGAGAGGTACCATTGTCAATTGTCATTGACCATTTTTATGAACAAGGTCAGTGACAATCAAATAAAGAATTTTTCCCAAGGTCCCATATCTAGTAAGTGGCAGAACCAGGATGCTAACATGTCTTTTGACTTCTACTTGGTGGTGGTAAAACTATGCATCAGCTGCTTCTAGTGAATAGTCAGGTCCCTCCGATTTCTCCCCACAGTCTTAACATTAGAATACACCATTATTATTTTATACTTCTGCTGCTATAAGTGTGGCTGCCACAAAAGTACTCAGTGTGTTCTCTTTTTGAAAATGACTTCTACTTACTACAAGACTAAATTGTTGTTATTACAGTCCCACATAGTTGCCACTCTCCATGTTTTCTTCTTAACCTAAAATGTTCGTTGTAGATCTATACTGGACAATCAAAATATATAAACATACTAAAATCCCAGCCTTATCTTTTCAGGTTCCAATTTCAATAAAAACTATAATTCAAACTGTTTCTCTCTAGCTCTCTTTATAATTTTGCACATCCAGATATACCACAGAATGATGCATTTGGCCACAGCTTAACCTGAAATAATTCTTTATATTTTAGATAAACTTATTTTCAGAACACAAAGTGATTTTTTGCACATTCTAAACTTTATTATTCTGGCACTATACTACACTTGCTTCTTAAATGAATCATGCAAATTAGCAGAATTATACTATGAAGCAGTAATTTACTTAGTACATAAATACTTTATTAATTATGATCTCAAAAACATGAGAAAATAATTTATTATGGGCATATGCAGGAGGTAATTATTTGCATAAATTACTTCTTGTGGGGGAAAATGAGAATTTAGTTTATAGTGGTACCTTATTTAAGTGGGTTGGCATTGCAGATAGTATTAGTTGCTTTTATTCTGTTTTTCAAAAAGCTAAAGATACATGTATAATTTCAGCTCTTCCAAAGAAAAGGAAAAAAAAAAGAGTAATCTTGTGGGCAATAATTGTAGAATGAAAGCCACACATAGATAACTAAAGAGAAAGCTGTTAACTATGCTGACTATGAAGACACAGATGGACTGAAAGACCAGTCACTAAGAAATGAGATCTGTGAGAAAAAAATTACGTGGGGATAAATTATTTTTAAAATGTGACGATGAAGGGAGAAACAACAAAGAAGCCTAACTAGTCAATTTAATATGAGCTTCAGCCAAGAAAGAAAAGAAACAACATGATGTACCATAAAGTACATGGAGAAATAGATATGTAACCGAGACCTTTGTTCCTTTATAGCCCTAACAATACAGATTAATACTTATACTACAATTAGTTTTTAAAAAATATTTCTGTGGGCGGGCGCGGTGGCTCAAGCCTATAATCCCAGCACTTTGGGAGGCCGAGGCGGGTGGATCACAAGGTCAAGAGATCGAGACCATCCTGGTCAACAAGGTGAAACCCCGTCTTTACTAAAAATATAAAAATTAGCTGGGCATGATGGTGCGTGCCTGTAGTCCCAGCTACTTGGGAGGCTGAGGCAGGAGAATTGCTTGAACCCAGGAGGCGGAGGTTGCGGTGAGCCGAGATCGTGCCATTGCACTCCAGTCTGGGCAACAACAGCGAAACTCCGTCTCAAAAAAAAAAAATATATATATTTCTGTGATACAGAGTTTAATGTTATTACTATAAAACATTCAATTAGCTAACCATGGTCATCTGCCACTACCTGAAAGACCGTTATTATTACAGAGAGGGAAAACTAGAATTTTCCATCAACTTTCCACCTAAAGGAAGAATTGGTCACCAGAATTCTAAAGCGTGATGCATATTGGCTTATTAGTGGCATTAAGGGGCAAAAAATAAAAAGAGTAATGCATGGCTTATAAAGGCGTATTTATTAGAGCATGAGTTGGGGCTAATAAAATGTTTAAGAAATTTTAGTCTAAAATCATAATCTAAGATTCCAGTTGAATTATACTAGAAAATATATTGTAACCCTCTTTGCTATTAATGACCTATTTCTAATTTATTTTCTTTTTATTTATGGCATAATTTCTCAAAATAACACATCAAAACTTATACATCCTTAAACATTAAAAAATAATACAAATGTAAGCAATATTTTTTAACTGCACTATTTAATCGATACATTATGTATATTACTTATAACATTCCATTATATATAAATTCATTCATCTATTTATTCAGATTAAACAACTATTAAGGCTGAATGTGGCAACTCATGCCTGTAACCCCAGCACTTTGAGAGGCTGAGGTGGGCATATCATGTGAATGCAACAGTTAAAGGCCGGCCTGGGCAACAAGGCAAAACCCCATCTCTACAAAAAGTACAAAACTCAGCCAAGTATGGTGACAAAGGCCTGCAGTCCCAGCTACTTGGATGGCTGAGGTGGGAGGATCACCTCAGCCCAGGAAGTGGAGACTACAGTGAGCCCAGATCCCACAACTGCACTCTAGCCTCAGTAACAGAGTGAAACTCCATCTCAAAAAATCAACAATTACAATGCCTCTTACATGGAAGACTGTATTCCAGGTACTCCAGGATACACACAAATATGTCTATGACCTCCAGTAGCTCATAGTATGCAGGAACTTCAAGTGATTATTTAAACAACTAAACATAAAAATTCTGAAATTTTAAATTTCCAAGTGTAATATAAAGACTTTGAGTGGATAGTTTAAATAAACTACAATGACAAAATTATGGTGTTAAAGTCTTACCATATTGGTATTAAGAGTCTGCGTATATAACTGGTTATTTGCCGTAAAATACATGTTATTCATTAGATGAAGTGTTTTACCTATACTCTTTATGGACAACTTATAAAACACAGAAACACCTTTGTAATACAAATGTTGAGAATGTAAATTTAAATTTCTACATTTCTACAATTTATATTTTTAAAGCAGATACAATCTGGTTATGTTGCCCGGGCTGTTCTCAAACTCCTAGGCTCAAAAAATCCTCCTGCCTCAAACCCCCAAGTAGCTGGGACTAAAGGCGTACACCACCACACTCAGCTAGTTTTCTACAAATTTTAATATTATTTTAGTCTCACCACAGAAGTAATAATAGAAGTAGAAAAAATAATGTCTCCTAAAAACTACATAACAAAATAATAAGTGTCCAAGAAAAGGTATATGCTATGTGCTGCACAGTTTTGCCAATAAAAAGTACCAGGGAGATTCCATGATAACTACAAGTAATTTGATTCACTGAAGATTCATAAAGGCATAAATATGAAAGTAACACTAGTATGATTTAAAAGCCAATATTAATATTTATCCAAATAAACCTTAACCAAATTTTATATTTCCTTTATTGGGGAAAGCATTTTCTAATGTGATTTTCCTGTCACTATGTTTCCAGTTCATTTTCTTTCAGCCCCCACCCTGTCACAGTACTTAATCAATCCTTTGTTAATGAGGTTAAACAATTTTTAAAAATTAACTAGCCAGGTCTATGCTTCTCTCTGACCAACCTTGTATTACCAACATTAAAAAAGGTAGATAAACCACTGCTAAATTTTAAAAGTAAATAATATGCAAAACTTGACTGAGTAAGAAAATTAATTTTACAAGAGGCCAATTTACCTCGGTGGTAACAGTCAAGTTGTCATCATCTGGCTTAGGGCATGAATCAACACACAGTTCGTGGAAAATGCTTTAGAGCAAAAATATACAATGAAAATGAGGCAAGTTGATTTCTTTACAAAGTTTTTAACTGCCAGGTCATATTCAGCTTCTCCTTTCAAAAAACAAAAACACAATCTGGGAAAAGGTTAGCTATCTGTACATTAAATAATGTTTCTTGATATAATTAAAATATGGCCTCTGCTCTAAAAATAGATTTTGGTTACCTGCTTTTGCACCTCTACCTGTCTAAATATATACAATATTCAATGAACACTGACTTTGAGCTCCATAACAAATAGGAACAGCCAACATATACCAGAGCCTGATGATAATTTACTCTGACAAATTATCTATCCTGAAGTTGTACTTAAAATTCAACTAATAAATGACATAAGCTTTGTTACCTAAACTGGGAGAAACCTGATGACCTAAAGAAAGGTAGAAAGATCTACTGTTTCTTGTCTATTATCTATCTCTGGTTAAAAGACTAATCTCTGTCACTTCAAATTGGCAGTCTTGATTCCTTAGCATAGAAACCACTTAAGAAGGTCCCATTGCTTTCCTTTGTCCCAAAACAGTACATAGAATCACCTGCAATATTTGAAACATGTGTATGCTAAGTGCACAAAAGTCTAATAACAAAGGTGTATGTTCTCTTTGAGAATACTCTTCCCAGAAAGATTAACACATTAACAGTAATAAAAATGCAATTATACTCACTCTATACATCCTACCTTTTTCAGATCCACATTAACTAAGAAGCCCTTAAATACTTCACAGGTAGGGCCGGCCATGGTGGCTCACACCTAAAATCCCAACTCTTTGGGAGGCTGAGGGGAGCACATCACTTGAGGTCAGGAGCTCAAAACTAGCCTGGCCAACATGGTGAAACCCCATCTCCACTAAAAATGCAAACAGCCTGGCGTGGTGGCAAACACCTGTAATTTCAGCTACTAGGGAGGCTATTATGCTTGAACCTTCGAGGCAGAGGTTGTGGTGAGCCGAGATCATGCCACTGTACTCCAGCCTGGGTGATGGAGTGAGACTCCCTCTCAAAAAGAAAACCTTCATAGGCACTCAGATATCCAAGAAGAGAGACTTCTGGAAAAACAGTCTTGGTAGTTGTACCTCTATTTCCCTAAGTTCTATATAAATATCTTTCTTCCTATGGGCTTCCAGATTCCACTTGTGCAGGGCTCCATGGCAGTCTCCAATATTCAAATCTTCAATCTATGAAAGCATAGATTCCTGAAAGGACGGCCTCAAATGACCAGGAGTGGCTCTATACATCCCTGCTCCTAAATAACAAGTTACCTGGAGTCTCCATTAACTGCCCCCAGCATAGACACACCTCCAATTACCCAACTGAACTTCATGACTGATTGGCCAGTCAATCATGCCCCTGACCCAGCCTACATGAACATTGGAAGGCCATCAGTGAATTATGAAAAGAAGCAGAGGTGAGGAGGAACCTGCCCTGGGCTACAGATCTATGTAGTTCAGCAATCTCCAGCCTAGTACTCAAGAAGCTCTAAACCACCCCTCTGTAAGTCAGAATGGAAGCATGTGATACTACATTTCTATCTGCTGTAGAGACTCTTCCCAGTGTCTCAAAATGTTTTAGCATCTTTCAGTAAAAATCTTCATTTGTCAGTTATTGATCAAAAAAAGCAGCAACCTGTTTATAGCTCCCTTGAACCCTCTATTTTAATGTGCCTTGTAAATTCCCAACATCCTGTGTTCTTCATCTTTGTAATTTATCTTTATTAAACTTGTCATAAACTCCAATATTCTGATCTTTTAATGAAGAATTCGTATTCCTATCCAATAAAGTATTGTTTCTCTTCAAACTTGGCCTTCCCCTGCTCATTCCATTCTTAGCCACTGCCATTGGGTTTATCAGTTAATTTCTTTCTCATTCTATCCTCTGGGTGCACCAGACTCACTCTCCCTTTGTATCGTCATCATCGTTATCTGAGACAGAGTCTCACCGTGTCACCAGGCAAGAGTGCAATCGCATGATCTCAGCTCACTGCAACCTCCACCTCCCATGTTCAAGCAATTCTTCCGTCTCAGCCTCCCAAGTAGCTGGGAACACAGGTGCCTGCCACCATGCCCAGCTAATTTGTTTTGTATTTTTAGTAGTCTGATTTTCACCATTTTGCCCAGGATGATCTGGATCTCTTGACCCCATAATCCACTTGCCTCAGCCTCCCAAAGTGCTGGGATTACAGGTGTGAGCCACCACAATGTGGCTGTAATCCCAGGTCTTTGGGAGGCTGAGGCAGGAGAATTGCTAAAACTCAGGCAGATGTTACAATGAGCCTAGACTGCTCCACTACACTCAGCCTGGGCGAGAGAGCAAGACTCTGTCAACAACAACAACAACAACAAAAAGCACCCATAAAATAAAAAAAGAAGGGTGAGTACTGGGCTTTAAAATAAGTTAAATTTCATTTCTGCCACTTCCTATGTCCAAAAAGAAAACTATCCTAATCTATTTGAGTCTCAGGTTCTCTATCTAGAAAAACACTTGACCAGAATGTTTAACACACGTTGAAATACTAGAGGTTATTTTAATTAGTCCTATGATTCCTTAAAATTCTGAAATTCTGCATGCTTTTGATTGTCTATAGGAGAATTGGGGATACATAGCCAGCAGAATATGAAAAAATAATAGAACAAAAGAAACAGCAAAAGCAGAGAACACTTTAAAACATCAAGAGGTTATGAAAATGTCATTGAAAAAGAAAAAAAAGGCTAAAAAAAAATACTGTGGAAGTAGGCAGAAATACTAGCCTAACGGGAAAACCAAACTGGGAAGTCAAGTAATTTCTCTCTAAGACTTGACTAATCTTGGTTTTGCAAAATTTACAATCCTATGGCCAAACCTTTACACTGCCCTAAAGCCTTTGATGGTAAAGTTAAGATATTGGTTACCACTGAAATTGTCAAGTTTATTAGGACAAACTCTTAGACCAACCTCATTTCTAACAATAACCTTAAATGAGAGTTAACATATAACTAGATTTGACTGTATTCATTAATCTGATTCTAACATATATCTTGATTCATTTGCTGCACAGATCTTTATCCATCTATGCTGAGGAGCAAAAGAAAGATTTGGAAGCCAGGCAGGCTGATGGTTTAATTGTGAATCAGCTACTTTGTTAATTATGGGGTTATGAAATGATTAATCTCTCTAAACCACAGTTCCCTATTTAATAAATAGTAGGTTATAAGAACACAGATGATGTGATGGCTTTATGAGATAAATGCATAGCACATAATAGGGTGGTTAGCCCAGAATACAACACTCAACAGATACTGGTTTCTTCAATCTATATTCCCTTAGTTAATATAATTTTTTAAATCTGTAAAATCCTACCTGACTGTAGATTCATCAGCACTCCCAGGATCTATTAAAGGAAAAGATAAAATGCATTGTAAGTCAATAATAAATATATAGAATATTAAAAACATAAGAAGGCACAGTCATGCATGCCTGTAATCTCAACTACTTGGGAGACTGAGGCAGGAGGATCACTTGAGAAACCCAGAAGTTTGAGACCAGTTTGGAAAACAGCAAGACTCTGCCTTCATTAAATAAATTATGCACACTTGTGTGCATGCTTTAGACCATTTTTCTTTAAAGTATAGGACTGATGATTTGTTATAAAGCATTCCTTCAGGAGCATACGTGAGAGCTTATTAGAATTAATATAAATTATACCTACTGGTATGTAATTAGTACAGTAAGAACTCTTACTTTCCTTTTTATTTACTAAATGCAAAGAATAGATTCATCAAAATTTGATATCTACAAATGAACTGCAGTATACAAGTCATCTTAGACAAACCATATAAGATTGACTAAAAACGGTATTGTTATCAGAACAGGTCTGATGAGTGACCAGTGTCAAAGAACATAATTTCTGAACCAAAGTATGAAGGGCAGTTAGTATACAGTAGTTCCCTTATCCACAACATGTGTGGAAAAGACATATTTGCCACATTTTTCTCTGTTCCCATACCATAGAAACAGTCATCAACAAAGAAGGCTTCCGTGATCAAACCTGGGGAGGGTTTTTCCCCACCAACAAGCAAGCAATCATTTCTGTAGATGACACAAGCTGGGTGTCCTTTAATTCAGTTCTCATACTCTATCTGCAGGTAGCATCAGATTCCACAGGTAAAGGGTTCAGTCCCATGAGTCTGCCTCCCTACATCAGTCCTAAGTCTGAAGCTCCAAAACTTCTGACCAACTGGCTTCAATTTGAGGTTCAATTGAGGTTCCCACGACTCCCTCTTTGGGTTAAACTGAATTGTTGGAATAGCTCAAAGTACTCAGGGAAACACATTTACCAGTTTGCTATGAATGACATTACAAAAGGTGCAGATGAAGAGATGTACATTGCAAAGTGTGGGGGGAAGTAGCACGAAGATTACATGCCCTCCCAGGACACATCATCCTCCAGGAACCTCAATGTATCCAGCAAACTGGAAGCTCTCTAAGCCCAGTCCCTTTGGGTCTTTATGAAAGCTTTATTACATATGCACCACTGATTAAGTAAATCACAGGCCAGTGGTGACTGAAAACCTTCAGGCTTTCTCTTGGCCCCCAAGTCTACAGAGTGAGACTGGAGATCTCAACCCTCTAATCAGTGTCTTCACAATAATGACCATTTGCCATCCTGAGTCTACATAGGGGCTTCCAGCCATCAGTCATTAGCATACAAAAAGACACCAGCTTGGAATTTCTAATGATTTTAAGAATTGTACACCAAGAAATGAGTCAACGTCCACACACAGATTTTACATTCAGTTTTTATTTCTGTGGTGAAAGCAAATAGTCAACTGTATTCCCAAAATATCACATGGAAAGCTTCAGAAGTAAACATGTCATAAGTTTTAATGTGCCAGTCTGAGAAGTGCGATGAAAACTTGAGCCCCTCCATCCAGACCAGGATGTGAATTATCTCTTTGTTCAGTACATCCACACCGCATATGCTGTTCACCCATTAGTCATCAACACAGTCTCCTTCTGTTGCCAGCCATCAACATCATTAAGGCCTGAAGATCCAGGGTCACTCACAGCTCATCTTTTTTTCTGACT